GAACGTGGAAACTTCCTCGATCTCCTCTACATCAAGAAGGTCAATTATCAACCCTTTCTTGTTCGAGCTTTCTACTCGAACTTGAAAAAGGATGAGGACGGAGCATTGATCTCTAACGTCAACGGGGTGGACATCTATTTGAATGAGGAGAACATTCAAATCCTCACCGGGCTTCGTCGGGATGGACAGGATCTCCGGCTCTACGTTGGAGAAGGAGCATGGTTCAACGAGACCGCTCTCTTGGAGGAAGTGGGCATCCGACACTTCGTCCCCACTCCCCAACAGCGGCGCCCTACGATTGCTTCCATGAGCCCCGTGTTTCGATTCATTTTTTATGTTTTGACACGGATTCTCAAGCCTAGAAAGTTCAATCACACCACTCTCTCCCAGGAGGACACGAAGACAATTCATGCGATGATTCACAACGCCAATCTCAATTGGTGTAAATTTGTGATGACTCAAATGTTCACGGCCACCTCCGACAATCGGCCGCTCCCCTACACCCTCCTTGTCATGGCGATTCTTGAAGAGTATAACATCAAAACCGATGTTGGGCCAAAGATAAAGGGGACAAAGCATTGGGAGATTGATGAATCCTCTTTCCACTCGGGCACCGACGAGACTCCGTTTCGACAGCCTCGTCCACGCCGCCAACCGAGAGCCACTGCCTCAGCCGCCACCACTTCGACCAATCCTTCTCTTGCCGAGCAAATGGAAGCCTTGACCGCCACTCTCTCTCGGATTGACACGAACGTCTCTAAAACGGCACACAACGTCAATATCTTGAGCCGTGAACTTCACAGGTATTTTGACTTTGTCAATTACCCGTACGCTCAAATGGTCCCTTACGTTCCTCCACCGAATTTCGGAGGTGAACAAAGTGGGACTCAAAACGTTGGTAGAGATGAAGAAGTGGACGATGAGGAAGAGGAAGAAGAAGAGGAAGAAGAAGCCGATGATGATGATGATGATGGCGATGGTGATGAAGAAGAAGAAGAAGAAGAAGACATTGACGAAGAACAACTTCTCAATGATCTTCCCCCGGATTTCTAGAGCTCTAGCTCTACTTTCTTCTCTTCCTTATTTTATTATCTCTTAATACGCTTTCGTTATGTACTCCGTTATTTCCCTTAATTAATTAATAAAAATCTTTATGATTTTTGTTGTTAACAATCTTTTTGTTAATGTCAAAAGGGGGAAGATAAGAGCTATGCATATATTAAGGGGGAATTTTTTTAAGGGGGAATTTTTTATAAAAAAAAGATCAAAACCCTATGCATATCCCCGTCTTGTTTGCCATTATCAAAAAGGGGGAAATTGTTGGAACACGCTTTATACGATAAACTAAAGTCGTGTTCATTTCTGACAGGTTTTGATAATTGCCAAACCGCCGTGGATATAAAGAGTTTCGTTGAATAACTCAAGGCGGGAAGAATGGCTTGGAACAAGACCTAAAAGACTCAAGGACAAGATCAGGAATTGAAGACTTAGTCGAGTCGGTCTTTTGTGATCAAAACCGACAATAAATTCAAGTCTTGGTTCGTGAGAAGTCTTCGAGTGCGGTATCTCCGAGCAAAGGTGTTGAGGCTCGTGTGACTCGGGTTCTCAAGTTGTATCGGTTTGTTAAGCACCCTTAAGCTTAACGGAGTTAGTGTAGCTCGAGAGAGTCTCTCGGGGGGCTGGATTAGCCACACGTTGTGGTGAACCAGGATAAAATCCGGTGTGCTCCTTCCTTACGCTCTTTACTTTAACGC